TGGGGGGGGTTAATGGAAAGGGGGTAAGGGGTTGATGGGAAGGGGGTAGGGGTGCAGTGGAAGGGGGTAAGGGGGTGATGGGGGTGGATGGGAGGGGGTTGGGGGTGCAGTGGAAAGGGGGTAGGGGGTGATGGGGTTCAGTGGAAGGGGGTAGGGGGTGATGGTGTGGATGGGAGGGTTTGAGGGGGTGTAATGGGAGGGGGTATGGGGTGATGGGTTCAGTGGGAGGGGGTAGGGGGTGATGAGGGGATGCAATGGAAGGGGGTGGGTGATGGAGGGGGAGTGGAGGTGTAAAAGGAGTAGTAAGGGGGAAAGAGATTGGATGAAAAGGGTGGGGGGAGATGGAGAAGAATGGGGGGGGTTAATGGGAAGGGGAGAGGGTAAAAGTAGGAGGGAGAGGGTAGGGGAAGGGGGACCGGGGGAGGGGAAGGGAAGGGAAAGGAGTCGAGAATAACGCTTTCGATAATCAGTTAAGTAGAATAAGTCATACAGTTATTATAAGTATCTCGCTCATTATCTCCCAAGTATATACGTGAGAAGAAAGATTAGCGACATTACGCGACATGGCATTTGATAAGCTCTGGTGCCGTTTCGTGATTTTTTTAGTATTACAAAACGTAAGACTTTTTTATTTATTTATTTATTTTTTTATTTAGGCGAGATAAACAGCGTAAGAAAATTATGTAAACCATGGCGATTTTTTTTTTCAATTAATGTTGATGATTTCGTTATCTCTATGATTGATTTATTAATTTGTTTGTTTTTTTCTGCCCATACATAGTATAGGATAAATCCAACCAACAGATAACCTCACCTTAGACTCCATTTTAGATTTCTTCTGATCACGAACCTCCGTCAATTTTTCAAACCAGGCCACGTCTTTGGGAGAAAATTACCCGAAACATTTATTTTTTTTTCTCTCCCATTTCCCCAGAAGCTCCCGGGCGTTTCGGACGATTCGGGTCGCGGGTGACAGAATCACAGTAGTTATTAGTGGGCCAATTACTCCTAGTTTCGGACTCTCCCGGTTCCTGTCTCGTGACGGCTTCGGGATGCTCCTTAATGAAACATCTCGGGGTCGGTGCTAATGGGGGCTTCTGTCGGGGGAGTTTAGGATTGTTGGGGGCTGGGGGAGGGGGGAGGAGAGGTTATTGGGGGGAGGGAGGTTGGGGGGGTGGTGGGGAAGAGAATGTAGTTTGTAGGAGAGGAGAGCAGTTGTAGGGGTGTGTAGGGATGTTGGGAGGTTGGTGGGGGTGGTGGGGAGGAGAGTGTAGTTGTAGGAGAGGAGAGTAGTTTGTAGGGGTTGTAGGGATTGTTGGAGGTTGGTGGGGTGGGTGGGGAAAGAGAGTGTAGTTGTATGGGTATAGAGAGTGGGGAGTGGGTGCAGTTGTAGGAGAGGTTGTAGGGTTGTAGGGATGGAGGAATGCGGGAGAGAGATTGTTGTAGGATTGTAGGATTGTTGTAGGAGGATGTAGCGGGAGGGAGTGAAGGCCATAGTACGACTGTATGATATAGAATTCGAATATTCTTAAGTCCCTATGAAGCGCTGAATTTGAAAAATGAATTTGCCTCGACGAATAAACGTGTCCGAGCGACGATATCATTGAATTAATTCTATTTACATTTACGTAAAGCCTCTGTTCGAGAAGATAACAAGGGTTTAGATTCCTAATTCGATCCCATTATTATAATTAAAAGAACGCTTCGGATCATGACGAGGCGACCGTGAATAATACCGTCCGTCAGGTTTGGGCTATTATGCTGATTCGCTTTATCTGAAGACATAGGACTCGGCTGCCGGTTTCGTGTCTGTTTGTTTTGAAGAGCTTTTGATAAACGACTTGTTCGATGGGGTTCGATTAGCTGTCGGCCGGCGCGTTCGGACGAGTGATTTCGGAGCGAGCGAGCGTTTGGCAAGCATTCGGACGCGTGATTACCGGTGTTGCTGTCTCGGGATCTGATTTATTTGACAGCTGGACGAAGGATTGTTTCTCTTTTTTTTTTGTGTTTGTTCTTAGTCTTTTTCTAACGTGGGGAGGGGGAGGGGAAGGGGGGGTGTTCTTTGTGTGTATGTTTCTCCTTTTTGCTTCTTTGTCTCTCTCTTCTCTGTTCATGTATCTTGTCTTTTTCTATCCTCTCTCTCTTCTGTTTGGGCTCTTCTCTCTCTCTCTCTCTCTCTCTCTCTCTCTCTCTCTCTCTCTCTCTCATCTCATCCTCCTCTTCTCTCTCTCTCTCTCTCTCTCCCTCCCTCCCTCCCTCCTCCCTCCTCCCCTGTCCTCTCCCTCTCCTCCTCCCCCTCCTCCCTCTCCTCCTCTCTCCTCCCTCTCCCTCTCTCCTCCCTTCTCCCTCCTCCATTCCCCTTCCCTCCTCCTCTCTCTCCCTCACCTCTCCCTCTCTCCTCTCCCCCTCCCCCTCCTGCCTCCCCCCTCCCCCTTCCACACTTTCTCAACCCAAAAATCCCCAAGAGAACTCACCGGACGCATCCTCTCTGCTCCACCCGAGCCCCTCGCTCTCGTTTCCCCAAAATTTTTCTTCTAGTTTTTCCTAAAAATTATTCTCTTTTCTTTTTCGCTTTGCCTAAAATTATATCTCTTTTTCGTTTCCAAAAAATTATTCTCTTTTCGCTTTTCACTAAAAATGATTCTCTTTCGTTTTTCCTAAAAAATTATTCTCTTTTCGTTTTTCCAAAAAATATTCTCTTTTCGTTTTTTCCAAAAAATATATTCTCTTTTCGTTTTTCCTAAAATGATTTCTTTTTCGTTTTTCTCTAAATATGATTCTCGCGTTTTTCACCTTAGAGATCAATTTGGGGTTTTCTTTTGTTTCCACTAATGAGAATGTTTTTCTCGTTTTTTCTTAACCAAAATGATTCTCTCTCTCGCGCTCCTTCCCCCAAACCAAAAAAACAAAATATATTTCCTTTTTCGTTTCCCCCCCAAAAAATTATTATTCTCTCGTTTTCCCCGAAAAATTATTTTCTCGTTTTTCCCAAAAAGTGATTCTGTCTCTCTCTCTCCCTCCCTCCCTCCCTCCCTCTCTCTCTCTCTCCTCCCTTCTCCCTCCTCTCTCTCCTCTCTCCTCCCTCCCCCTCCTCCCTCCCTCTCCTCCTCCCTCTTCTCTCCCTTCCACCTCCTTCTCTCCCTCCTCTCTCGTTCCTTCCTCTCTCTCTCTCTTCTCATTCGTTTTCCCCCAAAATGATGCGGAGGAAGGACTCGCAGCCCCGTAATGAGTCCCTCTCGCCACCGCCAGCTGCCGTGGACGAGAGGGAGGGAGAGGCTCCGGCCGGGGGGCGTCTGGGGAGGAAGTCGGCGGGGGCCTGGAAGTTCATTTTTTTTTTTTTTTTTTCGAATAGATTATCGTGCCCTTGTTTGGGGTGGGGGGTGGGTGGGTGGGGAGGGGTGGAAAAGGAGGAGGGTGGGGGTGGGGGGGGGGAGGGGTGGGGGAGAGGGTGGAGAGGGGTGGAGGGGGAGGGGGGTTCTGGTTCTTTGTTGAAGATGTAGATTGATTGATATGAAAATTTATTCGTTTTTTTTTTTTTTTCTTTCCTATTGCGTCTTTTGAGGAATTGGTAATGACCTTACCTTTTCAGAATAGGATAAATCAATTACCCATCTACCTTTTTTTTTTTTTTGAACCCATTCATTTTTTTTTTATATTTTTTTTGAATTGAAAAAGAAACCCATCAACCTTTTTTTTTTTTTTTTGAACCCATCATTATTATTTTTTTTTTTTGAATTGAAAGAGAGAAAAAAAGGATTTAAACCCAGACAGGATTTTTTTTTTTTTTTTTTTTCCCTAACGTTACAAAAAGTCCCTAGCCGCATCCCGCACTAAGTCGACCGCCGCTGTACGTAATCTCGGTCGAGTGAGTGAAAGACGGGAGGCGATGGCACGCTATACCGGATGCCCGACCACAGCCCTCACTTTCTCTCGGGCGCGGGCAGCGGGCGAGGCTCCGCTGGGGGAAGGAGGTGGGGTTTTGTCTGGTTTTCTGTGTTGGGTGTTTGGCAGGTCTTTTCAATTTTTTTGTGTCTTTTGTCTTTTTTTTTTTTTTGTGTTTCTGATGATTTTTTTTTTGTTTGTAATTTCTCCCTATTTTTTTCTGAATTATACTTGTTCGTTTTTTGTATAATTCTCTCTCTCTCTCTCTCTCTCTCCTCTCCTCTCTTTCTATCTCTTTCTCCTCCCTCTCCCTCCTTCCCTCTCTCCCTCTCTCTCCCTCCTCCCCTCCCTCCCTCCCCCTTCCCTTCTCTCCCCTCTCTCCCCTCCCCCCTCTCTCCCTCCCCTCCCTCCCCCCTCCCCCCTCCCCCTTCCCTCCCTCCCCCCCCTCCCTCCTCTATCTCTAATTCCTTGACCTTTTCCTTTTTTTTCTTTCTTTTCCTTTCTCGTGGCATTTTGTGGTTTGTTTATCCTTCAAGAGGTCTTCGGGTAGTCGCTGTCTCTTCAAGGTAGTTCGGATGGTGAAGGTGGTTTGACGTTTATCTGACATACGGCCTGACAGCTGTTTTGGTCTGTGACTTCTTCAAATTAGGAGAATGGTAAAAAAAAATAGAAAGAAGGGAAAAGGAGGAGTAAAAAAGAAGGTAGGAGAAGCTGTGACTTCTTCAAATGAGGAGAATGGTTAGAATAAAAAGAGAGTAGAAAAAAGGGGAAAGGGGAGAAGTAAAAAAGAGGGGTAAGAGAAGAAATAAAAAAGGAAAAGGAGAAAAAAGAGGGTGAAGAAAGAAAAAGAATGAGTGAAAAATGAGGTTTCTTATTTATGCCTTCCTCCTATTTTTTTTTTCCCTTCCCTCCCCCTCCTTTACCCCCTCCCTCTCCTACTCCCCCTCCCTCCCTACTCCCCTCCTTCTCCTACTCCTCCCTCCTTTCACCCTCCCTCCCTCCTTTTCCCTCCCCCTTTCCTCCTCCCTCCCCCTACTCCCCTCCCTTCCCTACTCCCCACTTCCCCCTACTCCCCCTCCTTTCCCCCATACTCCCACCCTTGTCAATTCTTGCGTCAGATTGTCTTCCGAGATTTCGACGAAGGGGAATGCCAATCGAAGCGTAACGACAAATTCCTGAAGAAAGGAAGTTTAAATCTCGACTTTTGGCGACGCAGTAAACAGAGCCATAAAGAACGACGCGAGAGTAGCAGTTATTGTGCATTTATATCAAAGGTTTTGCGAAGGTGAAGTGCGGGAGGTGCTGGGGGGAGGGGAGGGAAGGAGGGTTGTGTGGGGGGGGGGCTGGGGGAGGGGAAGGAAGGAGAAGGAGGTGGGGTTGGGTGAGAGGAGGGAGTGGAGGGTGAGAGGTGAATTAAGGTGTTTTGAGGGGGTTGGGAGGGGAAGAGGGGGTTGAGGGAGGAGGGGAAGGAGGGGTTTTGAGAGCGTGCGGGTCTGTAAAGGGGTTGAGGGAGGGGAGGCAAGGTGCATTGAGGTGGTGGCAGTTGGGGTGAAGAGGAGGGTCTTTTGGTGGGGCAGACTTGGACTTGGAGAAACAAGGTGTTTGGAGGGGTTGGGGGTTACAGGGGGAGGGAAACAGGTATTTACTATAGAGTTAGGGGCAGGTAGGGTGTTTTGAGGGGAAGGGGGGAAGGAGAGGTAGGGTATTTTGAGGGGAAAGAGAAAGGGGGAAAGTAGCGATTTCAAGAAGCGGGTGTTGGTAGGAAGGGGAAGCAGGATAAGGGGGAAGGAAGGAAAGGAGTTTTAAGGAGAAGGGGGAAGTGGGGGGAGGGGTTAAGGCGGATGGAGGTGGGGAGGGGGGGGAGGTAAATCGTCCTGTGTTTACGACAGTGTGAGGCATGAATAGCTGTGTGATGAGGGGTTGTTTAACTCTTTTAAATCGTGGATTTATGTTCAGCGCGGATAGATGGGTAAATGAGTAGGTAGATAGACAGGCAAGCGGATAGGCGACCGCAAGCACGCTTCTTAAGTAGGTAGGTTGATAGACAGACAGGTGGATAGATCATGAGGTGGATAGGCAGGGAGTTAAACAGAGGGCAATCGAGCAAGTACATAAATGCACCATTTTTTTTCTCTTTTTTTATTTTTATTTTTCTTATTTTTTTGTGTCACAATTGTTCGTTTTCCTCGGATTTTCTTATTTTTTATTTTATTTTTTTTTTTTGTGTCACAATTTTCGTTTTTCCTCGTATTTCTTATGTGTCACAATTGTTCGTTTTCCTCGGGATATTTCTTATTTTTATTTCTCTTTTTTTTTGTGTCACAATTGTTCGTTTTCCTCGGGATATTTCTTATTTTTTATTTTTTTTTTGTTGTCACAATTGTTCGTTTTCCTCGGGATATTTCTTATTTTTATTTATTTTTTTTTTGTGTCACAATTGTTTCGTTTTCCTCGGGATATTTCTATTTTTTATTTTATTTTTTTTTTTGGTGTCACAATTGTTCGTTTTCCTCGGGATATTTCTTATTTTTATTTTATTTATTTTTTTTGGTGTCACAATTGTTCGTTTTCCTCGGGATTTTCTTTTTTTCTTTTTTTTTGTGTCACAATTGTTCGTTTTCCTCGGGATATTTCTTTTTTTTTATTTTTTTTTTATTTTTGTGCCATAGCCTCTTTTCATTTTCTTCGGGATTTTCTTTTTTTTATTTCTTTTTTTGTGTCATAGCCTCTGTTCATTTTCTTCGTGATATAGTGACTGAAACCTCACGGCTTTCGGCCCAGTGCGAGCGGTGGAGATTTCAACGGAGCGTTCAGTAGTGTTCCAAATTTAGTTTATTATTGTTGTTATTATTGTTGCTTTATTATTCTTTTTTGTTTTTATCATTCATTCTGTTTACTGTGTTTTTATATACTTCTTTATTTTTTACTTTCTTTATTTATTAGTATTATTATTATTATTTATTATTATTATTATTTATTTTTTTATTTTTTTTTTTTTTTGAGAATATCGGTTGTTTAGTTTATTCTTGCTTATTTTTGAAGAAGTAATTGAGCGATCGGATTGAGTTCATTGTCATTTGTCTTTTCTCGTTTCCAGATGTGCATTGATTTTTTTTCTCTTGTGTAAAGTGTGTCCAAGATATTACGTTTTTTTTTTCTGTTTGCCTTGACGTTTAAAGTATGATGTTTCCTGATGTTGCATCTTCTCTCTTGCAGAATGGCGTGTCCCATACATTAAACGCCATGGCAATAACGTATCCCGTAACGTTTTCATTCAATTATATTCTTATTTCTCTATACTCTATTCTTACTTATTTATTCAATTATTTTTTGTAAATAATTTATCCAATTGTATTCTGTACTTATTTATCCAGTTGTATTATGTACTTATTTATCCATTTATATTCAGTAGATAATTTATCCAATTGTATTATGTACTTATTTATCCATTTATATTCAGTAAATAAATTATCCAATTGTATTTGTACTTATTTATCCATTTATATTCAGTAGATAATTTATCCAATTGTATTATGTACTTATTTATCCATTTATACTCAGTAAATAATTTATCCAATTGTATTCTGTACTTATTTATCCAATTGTATTATGTACTTATTTATCCATTTATATTCAGTAAATAATTTATCCAATTGTATTATGTATTTATTTATCCATTTATATTCAGTAAATAATTTATCCAATTATATTCTTATTTCTCATTAGACTATTCTTGCTTCCACATACTAATTGCATTCCCCTTTCCTCGTTGCAGGAAAGTGTGTCGCAACTGCAAATGCCCTCGCGAGGACCACTGCGGCGGCGAGATGGCCCCCCCACCGTCGCTCTCGGAGGCGCCCAACCCACAGAACCCGCAGCACCACCACGCCCACGCCAGCACCCGACCCCCGGGGCGCCCCCACAGCTCCAGCAGCCCCAGGAGCCCTCGACCAAGAAGCCGGGCGTGTCTGTGGGCGGGGTGTTCGGGGGCGTGGGCGGCCTGATCACGGACCCGCAGCGCCACAGCCAGAGCGACGACGACTCGGGGTGCGCCCTCGAGGAGTACACGTGGGTGCCGCCCGGACTCAAGCCCGAGCAGGTCGGTGCGGCGGCCGGTCTTCGGCCTCCTCTTCTGGTCTCTTGTTGGTTATTATTATTCCCTGCTTGCTTCTTATTCTTATTCTTTTATTTTTTTCTTCTTTTTATTTATTTCTTCTTCTTGTTGTACTTCTTTTCTCTTTCTTGTTCTTTTTCTTTTCTTTTCTTCTTCTTTCTTCTTCTTCTTCTTCTTCTTCTTCTTCTTCTTCTTCTCCTTCGCTTTTTCTTTCTTCTTTTACTTCTGCATCGTTTTATTATTCTAGTTCTTATTCTTGCACCTAATTTGCCTCCTGCTCTGATTCCCCTCCTTCCATTTCCTTTTCCGCTTCTTCTTTTTTTTCTTCTTCTTCGTTCTCTTCTTTCCGTTTCTTCCATTTCCATTCTTTTCATTCTTTTAGGGGGTTGTGGGTGTTTGGGTAGGGTAGAGGGGGTGGGAAGTTGGGGTAGGGGAGTAGGGGTGAGGTGGTATTGGGGGGGAATATATGGAGAAAGATAGGTGTGTGTGTGTGTGTGTGAGAGAGAGGAGAGAGAGAGAGAGAGAGAGAGAGAGGAGAGAGAGAGAGAAGAGAGAGGAGAGAGAGAGAGAGAAGAAGAGAGAGAGCGAGAGCGAGATTGCGTGTGTGTGTATGTGTGCGTCTGCGTGTGCGTGTGCGTGTGATATGCGTGTGCTTTGAGCGTGAACGGCACCAAAATGCATATCTCCTCCCCAGCGTCTGTTACAAAACCCGCTGCCCGAGAGACCCTGAACCCCCAAATGAACAAGAAACCCCAAACCCAGATCCCTCCCCCCTCCCCCCCTCCCCCCTCCCTTCCGAACAACAACAGCCGGCAGGAAGGATTAGGCTAATCCCCCCACCATTTAGAACTCGGAGCCCCGGTCTGCCCGACGCCCGACGCCCGACCAGCTCGCCAAGCCACGTCAAGCCACGTCAAGCCGATCCAAGCCGAGGGGGCGAGCCGAGAGTACTGCATAGGCCCCGGCGTTTACAACCAGTGACCATAAACCCACCCAATATGGCGCGTCTGCGGAGAGGAGAGTGGCAGACGTATTGCCTGACCTGTTGAGGGGGGTAGAGGGTGAGGGGGGGGTTGGGGTGGGGTGTGGGGTGTGGGGTGTGGGGGTGGGGTGGGTGGGGATGGGTTGTGGGGGTGGGTGGGGGAGGGGGTGCGGAAAGATGGAGGAGAGTTAAGAACAGAGGGGGGGGGGAAGGGAGGGGGGAGGGAAAAAAGATTTTGAAAATAGAAAGAAATGTGGTAGAAGACAAGAGGGAAAGATTTTAAAAAATGGTTTATATTAGAGACTGGGTAACGAAGGCATTGTTGCATACATACATATGTATGTATATGTAAAGAAAGAGAGAGAGAGAGAGAGAGAGAGAGAGAGAGAGAGAGAGAGAGAGAGAGAGAGAGAGAGAGAGAGAATGAGAGAGAGAGAGAGAGAGGGAGAGAGAGAGAGAGAGGATGGAGCCAGAGCCAGACAGAGAGAAGCGATATGTTTACATAACATAGAATCCAGAACGAGTCTTTTACCGAAACTTTTATCCAAATCGGTATAATGAGTATTTTTTTCTCCTTCCTCTGATTCCTTTCTTTGGAGATAAGAGAGGAAGATTAGATAACAAAAGCTCGTTTCCAAAATGAAGATATATGTGAGGCAGTTTGAACAAGAAAATGAGTAACGAGTTCTCTTCTAGACTTTGGACGAGATTGAAATCCACTTCAAGAGAGAGATAAAAAAGGAAAGTCTTTTAGTGAGGAATAAGATTGGAAAGAAGAAGAAAAAAAAGAAATAACATATGAATGAATAGATATATTAAAAAAAAAAAAAAAAAAAAAAAAAAAAAAAAATATATATATATATATATATATATATATATATATATATATATATATATATATATATATATATATGTTCCTTATATAAAAAATGTTATAGTGATAGACAAAATATAAATATATATTTAGTAGATGGAATATAGAATTTACATTATATCATTATGTTGTTTATATTCATATTCTT